TCCGAACTGAATTCCTAATTACCACTTTCTGAAGCACGTTTGAAATTTCTAGATAGCCTAGCACTTGAAGAATGCAAAACGGATTGATTTGCGGCCAACAAGTTTTGTCCTTCAAGACATTTTTCATCTAGCTGTAGCTTCAGAACAGTAATTCTGATCTAATTCTTGGGATTTAATGAGTGCTTTGCAAACCGCACCTTAGCCATTTGAAACTTTGCATAATTATTTTTGAAAAAAATTTCTGCTTACACAAACATATTGAGCACGGACATTCTGAAGAGTTGACTAGTGCGTATTAAGTTGAATCTTTTCTGGAATATAGCGCGGTAGACTTTTTATTTTTTGACGACTCTCTGATTTTCTGTCGAAGGCCTGCGGTAATCACACCAGAATGGAGTTGTCTTTGTGAAACGCTTATTAATTTGCAACAGCAAGTGTCGTCCATTTTGGTATAAAAGAGATATGAAGAGTATCCTTTTTGTAAGTATTTAAAATAAATTAAAAATAAATTTATAAAATTGACCGTGCCAAAAATCTGCTGAAATTCCATCGCAATATTTTGTTATTCCGATAAAGGCAAAGAAAGAAAATATTTGTTTTACTGTAACAGAGAAACAAATTAAGATAAAATATAAATAAAGATTTTATCTGAGTAGTCCAGCATTTTGACAAGACAAATATTTTTGAAAAATTTAATGTAAGCTTTCAGTATAATGAATGGCTTTTTAAAATTTCACTCAGACAAAATAAGTTCCTATATTGCTTCACATCATTCCTCTGTCAGCACTTCAAACTGCTTATGAGACTTAAGAAGAATGTTTAAAAGGGCTGAATAATTTACCAAAATACACAGATCGCATTACCTTAAAATCACTTTTGGAGTGGTCAGCAGCAGGAGAAAATTCTTATTTGGAAAAAGCAGAAATTTGTTAGAAGATTACGTTGTTCTAGCAAGTATACTTCTAGAGTATTAAAAAATTGTAACCAATAGAAAAACTGAAATCACAATGTGTGCTCTATCCGAATGTTTAATCCAAAACTTTTGAGTGTTAAAAGACGGTATTTTTTAGAAAAAAATGTCGCATATGTAACGCTAAGCGATGATTCAGAAGTGTCTGAAGTGTGCCGGATCGTGGCTTTCCACGCGATAATGTCTAACATTTTACAGCTAATTTCTTCCTTAAAACCTTGGGCTGGTAGCTTTTCGTGAACAGGCTATCTAATACCTCTGTCACTTCAAAACATATATGCGGTGAGCACCATTTGACAGTCAAAAGCAAAACTGATTTGTCGAAAGAAAAAAAGAACGAGTAAATATTATGTACTGATCTAAAGACTGATCTTAAAAGGAAACGATCCTAGGCCAATAAAAACGGGTCAAAAAATATACTGTGAAGAAAATAAAGCTACTTTTTTTCCAAGCAGCATATCAACAATTCCATGAAAATTTGGCTTATATTGAAAGCATCCAAAGCGAAAACAGTGACGCTAACAACAGCGGCCCTGAGTAATCACTTAGCCAAGCATTTTTTCATTAAAAACTTTTATTTTTGTTAATTTATTTGAAAAAATATATTTTATTTCTTCTTAAACTGAGTTACATAGAGAACGACGTGAGAAAGAATAAATCAAAAGTACCAGGCGAAAGAAAAAAACGATTATAGCTGGTCGTTACTGATAGCAAATCTCGTGTAATAAGATTGTGACGATGATTAGCATATCAAAACGATCTGCGAGTCATTTTAAAGCGCTTGATGCTATGTTAAGATTCCTGTGTCGCGACAGCAGTCCTGCTTCATTGTTTTAATTTCTTCTCTTGTTTTTCATTTTTTCTCCTCCCTTCCTTCCTTATACCACTTAGAATTTCTAGTTAACGCACGGCATCAATTTTTTTCCTCCAAGGCGTTTCTATTCATGCTCTAACATTTCTTAACTTATCGAGTTATCTCGTTTCGATAGGCTGCTTATAGTTGTCAGTCTCCAAGTGACGAAGGGTTAACCACTTGTTCTAGGATTTGGTCACCTAGAAACACATTAAATTGACAGATAATTTCGTATGTTCATTCTCAAAAAGCAACTGTTTTATAAAGAAAACGCTTGACGGAAATCAAGGAGCAATATGCTGGCAGGATTTCGGAAGTTCGCTGGGAATTACAAGTTACACAGCTACTGAACTCGGGCCAGTGCATGATCATATTTTGCTATCTGTGATAGGGTTTTGCA